AGGAGGCTGAACCCTAACAGTCTGCAGAATCCCCTCACTGATTACACTGTAAATGATAATCTACCTTAACCAAAATCAAAGTAGACTATCACTCACCCACACCAGATGGAAAACTCTACAGACTGTCAGTTCACACCCCATCACAAGCCAGCAAAACATCCACGAAACAAAGAAAGGTCTGTCACAGCCAAAAAATACACTCCAAACACGCCGCTGGCACTAGAGGCACAGCATGGCGCCACGCTCTCTAAGGCGAGCGAAAAGCCGCGTCTTTTTCACCGAAAAGGACACCGGGGACAACAACATAGCGAAGCCCGAAGACGAACTCCACCCATGGCGTCCATCGAAAGAGACAAAATCGAAAAGAAACAATTCAAAAAAAAAAAGACAACAAAACAACAATACACCGCGGCGTCTGCTTTGTCGTCATGTCTCCCTCCTATCCTACGGCACAGGGGGCGAGATGTTCCTCGGGATGGACAACCCTCCTCCCTCTCCATGCGACATGGCGGCCCCAGGCTCGTTCGTTGGCGCGCCATAAACAATTTGGTGGAGAGCGGCCTCTGCATCCTCTGCATCCATCTTGACCGCCAGCGCCTTCCATCCTACGGTCTCCGTTTATTTTGGCGCCCGATTTCGGAGCGCAGCGGACTGTCGCCCTCCCCCCGCGGCCAATGCTCCATAAGGGGTAGGATTATTATTATTGTTATTATTATTATTATAATTATTATAATACTAATTTTATTTATGATTATTATTTTATTATTTTATTGTTTTAGTGTTTTATTATTATTTGCCTTTCTCCCATTTCTTTTGTCTTCGTATGAGAGATCAGACTGTGAGGAGGGGAGAAGATTGGGATCGCGAGGAAGGGGAGGATCAATACCTTAGCCGTGATTTTCTTCCCACTTGCCATGCCCGATCCTTTTTTTTTTCTTTTTTTTAAATGTGGTTCAATGGACCACGGTTCTGATATTAAACTGATCAGAACAGATAATAGACTTGATCTTAGCCCCGTCTTCGTTCCCCTTCCCAACCCCCTTTGGGCATCCCCTTCCCTGCATTTGCAGTTGAGTTTCCCCTGTTTTTCCCATTGCCATCATCTGCGCCATTTCACCCTGTTAAACCCCCTAGCCACTTCCCCCACTTCCCACTTCCCCATTCCTCCCCCCCTCTCTCTCTGTCCCCCACTATCTCTCTCTCTTCTCTCTCTCTCTCTCACACACACACACAAACATGAAAAAGAAAAGAATTCCCCTCCTCAGGCACCGCCCCCCTTCTCTCTCTCTCTCTGTCGGGGTTCAACCTCCTGATGAGTCGGTGAAGTCCGACGAAACAGTCTGGCACAGTCATGCTTTTTGAGTGTATAGCGAATATGACAACACACACAAGCAATAAAATAAAAGAAAGAAATCAAAAACAGATTGCGCCATGTGGTGCGATTTTGCACCGTAGATTCCCCAACCTTGGCCAACCACTACCATCCATCTTCCCCGTTCCCTCTCGCCCTTCCCCCTTCCCTGTTCCCCAACTCCCCCTTCTCTCACTCTCTCTCTCTCTCTCTCCCACACACACACACACACATACACAACAATGTCATACAGAGACGAAAACAAAACAAAAGCATGCCACGTGGCCGCAATTTGATGCGCTAAACCCCCCAACCAACTCCCCCCGACTTTCTCCCTCCCCCTTGCCAGTTCTCTCTCTCTCTCTCTCTCTCTCTCTCTCTCTC